GCATATTAGGACATTGTAGCGTGCTTTTGTCTGTGTACCCAGCGTCTGACCGAATAACCTAGAGAAATACTGAAGCTGGAATAACCAAATACTGGAAGGATGAACCACGACGACACGGGGCCATCAGTTACAAATAACTAATAACTGCGGTCAGCACCCCGACTGCCAGTGCGAAGACGCGTTTTTTGAACAGTTTCCCGCAGGTTTTTGTCACTGACGGCACTGTTTTACCCGACAAATGCTTTTAACTAAAACAGTTTCTGGCCACCACGATTGTCAGAAGACATCCTCTCAAAATATCAGCTTTCTAGCTTTTTTGATTCCCGAGTTAGTAACTTGGGCGCCAAAAACTTTCACAGGCCCGTGCACGAGAACCATGCGCAGCTGGGACGGAATTTGAAGTCACTAAGTTCTATACGAAGGAATACCTCCTTAAAATTTCAGCTTTCTGGCTTTTCTAGGTCCTGAATTAGCAATTTTTTCGTCAAGTCTGTACGTGATACCACAGCGACGTGACCGATTATTTTGAGGATGGGGGACCTTACGAAAATGCAGACTAATTTGCCAAAGTTTCAGCCCTATAGCTTTTCTGGGTCTCGAGGTGAAAAATCGGTACAGACGCACATACAGACACACACAGACACACAAAAAGACACATACTCTCGACAATATGTGTTTTTGTATTTCACAGATGCAAAAAACACGTAAAAGCAAGATTCCATCCCTCAGTTTACCTTGGAATACAAACTCATGCTGTTATAACTCGAACTTGTGACTCCGAAGTTACAACCCATCTTGACATTTTTTTCAGTTATTGGCTGCTTTTACCTGATCACTGCGAGCAAAAAATCATAGCTTGATTGTCTGCATGCTCCCAAGTCTGTTTTGTTGTTCCGGAGAAAAATGCTTGATGACTTGCATTCATTCTGTTGCTTTTATGATCCTACGACTCAGTTGCTGTCGACTTTCTTTTGCTCCACAGTATCAGCCACTTCGTTTAGGAAGGGATTTGCCACGAGTTTTACGTAGTTACTGAGGACATCAAGACAAGTGTGGAGGAGTCTGAAGTCATTTCTAAGAGGTTCACACTAGGGGTGCAAAGATACAAAGATTCGTAATATGGAGCTCTCCAGTTAACTGGTGAATACTAATTTGGTGGCGTTCTCGACAAAGTTATCGCATAACGCGGGAAGAAAACTTTGAAACTGGCGTTAAACTGTGATCTTATGTTCAAATTCAAGTTGAAGAGCCACACTGCAGAGTGTGTTTTTTTTAACGTTTCTAAGCGGTTTTATGCGTTTTTTGCAGCAATGCAATGCGAAAAACGCATATTGACGAGGGATTGTCTGTGTGTCTGTGTGTGCGTCTGTCACGAACTTTCATCTCAGGACCTATAAAAGCTGCAGGGCTGAAATTTCGGGAACTTGACTTACATGCACGTGCCACACCCAATCCCCAAAATGGGCGCCAAAACCCACGTGGTTCCCGCGTACGGGCCCGCCAAAGTTTTTTTGGGGCCAGTTCATAACTCGAGGATCTGAGAAGCTAGAACACTGAAATCTTGAGGTAGTGTTCCCCGCTCAACCGGGTATTAGTGAGCTCAAACCCAGTCCCCCGGTAAGCGTGGTACCCGTGTACGAGCCCGACAAAATTTTTTCCGAATAAGTTCATAACTCGGGGATCTGAGAAACTAGAAGGCTGAAATCTTGGGGTAGTGTTCCTTGCCCAAGCGGGTATTAGTGGGCTCAAACCTAGCCCCCGAGTAAGGGTGGTACCCGTGTACGAGCTCGCCAAAATTTTCTTTGTGTAAATTGATGACTCAATTACCTGAGAAGCTAAAGGAATGTAATTTTAAGAGGATTTACCCCGTCCACCTAAGTTTCATTCAGCTCGAACCCAGCTGTCAGGTATGCTTGGTAAACATGCACGGACCCATGAAAATTTTGCTCCAGTAAGTTGCTAACACAGAGGCCACGGAAGCTAGAAACCTGAAATTTTAAAGGGGTGTTTCCTGACAGTTCTGACGGCCAG